TTGGGTATCGATATTGCACAAACTATGTCACATACTACGCATAATAACGATAACGACAATTGTACATGAACATGTATACTGTCCACGCTGAAAAAATATGGTTTTTCAAATTTCATTAAAGCGTTTTCGCTTAAGATTTGGTCGTCGAAGAAAACGAAATACTATTACGTCATATCAGCAACAGCAGCAAGAACAAGATGAAATGGAAGTTTCTTTAGGTAAGGTAAATTTATTTATAAAAATTCATAGTCTAAAATAAATAATGATCTCTCTATAACATGTATATAAGAAGAAATGACATCTAAAAATCCCGCCAACACTAGCAACAAACAAAAAGACGATCCTACAATTTTATCTCGTAACGATAAATCAAAATTAGAACGACGCAAAAAGATATATGACAACTATTCCGACACAGCAAAATCACTTCTCTTAGAACTAGCAAACCTAGTTCACGCTCTCACCTTCCAAAATGGATCAGACGACGAAATAACCATTTGCATCCATCAATGGATCGTCACGAGAAATACCACATCTAAATACCTCTTTAAACTTTTACGAAACAGCATTCACATACCACAATATGCTTGTCTCCTCGCATTCTTTTATCACTATTCAATCGGCACTAGATTCAATTCACGCAAAACACTAAAATATTATCAGCTAGCCGCAAACATGGGCGATAGTTTCGCAGCGAATCAAACAGGAATTTGTTATGCATGGTCTATCGGTGTTGAGAAATGTGATTTGCAAATGGAAATTCGGTATTATCGTATTTCGGCAGAATTGGGTCATCCACAGGGACAGTCAAATTTGGCGCACGCAATAAGGAGAGGCATTGTCCACGAGTTTTGTGACAAGCGTGAAGCGTTGTTTTGGTACTTAAAGGCTACAGATACTGGCTACCCGGCAGCATCTTGGTACGTCGCAGATTGTTATAAAAATGGATGTGGTACTATGGTGGATTATCACAAGATGCTTATTTGGTATACGAAATATTTGAAGAAACAAAATGTGGCAATTAGCCTGAATTTCCTCATTAACAATAAATTATTTGATGTTTAGCTTTATATGGCATTTAAAACAAAATTTTTTATGTGAAATTCTTAGCACGCATAAAGTTAATAAGGCCAATTGAATTATGAATCATATTTTTTGTTCAAGTTATTTAATAATACGTCTAAGTATGACTGCGTATATTGCTTGCATATAGTAGTCAACAAAGACATGATCTTTTATCTCCAATTAAAGATCAATTGCAAGAGATATAGAAAATCATAGATAGTTTAAAAGTTCTATTGGTTTTGAGCAAGATGAGACAAGAAATCTTTGTTGTGAAGAGTGTATATGAAAAGAGGACTCAATCATTCAATCTGTATTTAATGCGAATCTTGTGTTTCCGTGCGTGAAAAATATTGACAAATAAAATAATGATGATTAATAAAGAAGTATCCGAGCAATAAGTTTCATGAAATTCAATAAGATGTGAAAACCGTGAATGTCCATCCATTTTATTTCATCCAAAAGGTTATTATATTAATGAAAATCGATTTCTTATAGTATCATAGTTACTTATCGTTATTACATGTATTTTTAAAATCGCAGGACATGTCTCTAACATTTAATAATATCGATATTGATGTGCGCGAAAATAAAAGTTTTTTGCAAGTACATGTATAACAACGTTTATTCTCTTGTTTTCGTTTTAATGTATTTCA